ACGAGCCCATGAATACCAACAGTGCACGTCAAGTAGGCCATTATCCTTGAGAAAGTATGTGGAAAGTACTATTTGCTTTTAGCATTCAGTCATCGGCGCCTGCGCGCACCGTCGCCATTCGCGATGATCCCGGGGGGGCTTTCAAGTCTGGGGGGGGGTGGTGGCAAGGAATATTTGCACGTACGGCGGCAGTGTGCGCGACAAAAACGGCCTCATTCAGCGGCACAAGCAGACAAAGACGGAAAGACTGCGGAGAGATTTTTTCATTGTGCTCAGAGTGAGCGTCTGGCAGGCTCGGCGCGCCACAAAGACGTAATCCGGCGCAAACGCGCACCTTGAGCCGGGCTAATGATGCAATAAAAGGGAGCTAATAAAACAGCTTCGGTGTGACTCGTCGACTAATGCGTTCTGTCTTATTGTTGTCGTGGCGGGGAACGGGGGGGGGGGTGATGAGCACCAAATCCGCAGTGTCGCCGAGGTCGTCGCTGCGCGCTTGAAATTTATCACTGAAGCGGCCTTTTGGGGAAAAAAAGATGAAAACGTCTTCAGCAAGCAAGAAAAAAAATTCAGTTGCCACGATTCCCCCCTTGCGGATTTCCGTGACCTGGACGACCGGGAAGCCCGCACCGATTTTGAAGCACTATATTTTCATCTTTCATAAACTGCTTTCTGAATTGGAGAGGCCATCTCTCAAGATAATTTATTTTTCCCACTAAAATTGAACTCTGTGGTGGCTTCGGCCATCCATGATGGCGTAGTCTGCTGGTCAGGCAGCATCTCAATGACAGACAAAGACTGGATCGACTGGTCAGGAGGGGCCAGCTCTGTCCCTGGGCTGCCCCTTGGACACTCTGGAGGAAGTGGGCAATGGGAGGATGCTAGCTAAACTAAAAGCGATGATGGACAGACCCTCCTACCCCCTCCAGGCCACCCTGACAGCACTGGGCAGCTCCTTCAGCCAGAGACTGTTGCACCCGCGCCGCAAGAGGGTGACATACCGCCGCTCGTTCCGACCGACTGCTGTCAGGCTGCTGAATAAACACACGTGAAAACCTGGACGCGCCCCGTTCACCTCTTAGAAATAGCGCAGCCACCTTATGCAGCAGAAATGCACTTGCGTCTATGCTTATATCGATATTTTTCATTTTTCTTCATTTATTTTGTGCGCGCAATACCATATTGGCCCGAATATAAGATGGTGTTTTTTGCATTGAAATAAGACTGAAAAATTGGGGGTCGTCTTATATTCGGGGTCTAGACGTTATACCCATTCACGACGCTAGATGGCGCCAGATATCATTGAAGCGAATGCTGAACTTGACTCCCCAGGCCAAAGGGAACTGCTGTCACGAAGAATAAAAATAAAAATAGCTGTAGCACGAAGAAAAAAAAAAGTCATCTTATAATCAGGGCCGTCTTATATTCGGGCCAATACGATACTTTCTTTTCTTTTGCTACTTTTACCCCTTCAATTTTGCTGCTGTCGATTGCAAATGTCTCCATTGTGAAACAAATAAAGGTTTTCTTATCTTATAATGCAATACGGTTGCTCAAGCATGAAATCAAACTGTTCCCTCCTTTGGTCCCAGGTGGTGTTTGTATCGCGCAGTCCTTGAAGATTCCAAGGGAGCCAAAGCCGGGGGAGTTTGACAAGATCATTAGACGCCTGTTGGAGACCTCCAACGCCAGGGCCATCATTATGTTCGCTAATGAGGACGACATACGGTAAGCGGCGACTTTTCGACCGAGCGTTGCGCCGTCCGCGCACGCCCACTCACATGCGCTTGTTTCTCAACCTTTTGCGGCCTGGTCGGACAGCCGCGTTTTGGACGCGGCCAAGCGCAACAACCAAACGGGCCACTTCCTGTGGGTGGGCTCCGACAGCTGGGGGTCCAAGATCTCCCCCGTCGTCGGCCAGGAAAGGGTGGCGGAGGGAGCCATCACCATTCTTCCCAAGCGGGCTTCTGTGGACGGTAAGCGTGAGAAAGTAGCGAGCCGAGCATTTCAAAAGTCATCCGCCGCTCGGGGAGGTTTTTTCGATTAGACCGCCGACGATTCGAGGCAACAATGTGCGGAAATAATGAAAACAAGGAAGACGGATGAGGAAATCCAATCAGCAGTTGGGGGATTTTCAAAGCGCTTCCGCGGCGTCGTTGGCCCAAACTCGGGTCACCTTCAGATCCGAGAGCCGGCTTCTGGCCGACCCGTCTAAGCTCGATAAGTCAAGCTGTGTCTTCAACTTAGCCGCGTCCCAAAGCGTTTTAAATGCATCGCTTGGATATTTTAGTTTCCAGCTCATCCCGTGAATGCGGCTCGGTCGATCCTGGCTTGGGCCGAGGAAAGCTCCTGCCGCGTTCTTGAGGAGCTCCGCCGGCGCATTACCCCCCCCGCCGGACAGCCGAGGAGATTAACGAAGGCGGCTCTTGTCAGCGTTTAGTCGAGCACGGCGCAGCACGTCTGACGTCGGTCGGGTCCACTCTGGGGATTTCCTCCGCGGTCGGCTTCGCTCACGGCGTCCCCGGCGGAGTGAGCCGAAGCTTCATCAAGAGCAAATAAACCCTCGGTGATGCAGCCGGTCATTCACTCTCTCTCTCTCTCTCTCTCTCTCTCTCTCTCTCTCTCTGATGTATTTCCGGAGCCCGACCGCTATTTCCGGAGCCGCTCGCTA